CTGACCACTGCCCACCACTCCCGACCTGCACTCACCAATCCCCATCCCACCTCTCCTCTCTCTATTTATTTCTGCGTTCTCCCCACACCCCGCTTTCTGAAGAAGGGTCCCGACCCAACACATCAACTTTCCTAGATAGTAGGAACTGCAGATGCTGGAGAATCTGAGATAACAAGATGTAGAGCTGGGTGAACACAGCAGGCCAAGCAGCATCAGAGGAGCAGGAAGGCTGACGTTTCGGGCCTAGACCCTTCTATGCCTGGCCTGCTGTGTTCCTCCAGCTCTACACTGTGTTATCTCTAAGTAGATAAGGATGTTTTGCCAACAATTACGCATGCAAATGGTATATTGACTTTCATTTCAAGAGGATTTGAGTTTAGAAGTAGGGATGTCATATGACAGTTTTACAAGGCATTGATGAGACAACACCTGGAGTATTGCATACAATTTTTGTCTCCCTATCTAAGAAAGGATATACCTGCTATGTGGAAGGAAGGCAGCAGAGGTTCACTAGGCTGGTAGTGGGGATGGCAAGACTGTCTGATGATGACAGAGTGGTTCAAATGGGCCCTTACCTACTGGAATTAAGAAGGATGAGAGGATCTGATTGAAACATTTCACAATTTTAATGGGGCTGACGAGATGGGATGCAGGGAGGGTGTTTTCTCTATTTCAGGAGTCTAGAACTAAAGGACATTGTCTCCGGAATACCGATTTGACCCCTTTCTCACTTTCTTGCTTTCTCCCTAATGAGAGAGCAGCCCTATGGTCTGATAAGACTGTGATGACTATACATTTACCTTTGCCTTTACCCATTTATACTTGTAGGAAAAGCAATGGTCCCAATACAGACCCCTGGGAAACTCCAATACAAACCTTCCTCCAATCTGAAAAATGCCAATTAACTCAGTTTCCTATCACTCAACCAATTTTATGTTAATAGTCTATATATTACACCAAGCAATGTAATTGCACCCTTTTTATTCCTTAGCTCTAGCCAAATTAATTTGGTCCTGAATCCTCCAAATCATCCTCCTCCTTTAGAATGGCAGTACACACCTTAACCAAAAGCAGCAGCTTTCTTCCTTTATTTCCTTTTGTATCTTTCCTCAATGCCTTATAAACAAGAATATGTTATACCTAGATCTGCCCATCCTTAAGACAAGTCATAATTCCACAAGGCAATTATGCCGGTAACTCCCCAATCTTATGAACTATACTTAGTGCATTCAAATATATTCCCAATGCAGAGTAACCCCCACTTTGACTGCATTACTTTCTTCCTTAATCTGACTCCACCTATTAATTTACGATCCTCTTTGCTAGTCGTTTCTGCCTCTGCCAGGATTTTGTGTTCCCGAGTATTACTTTAATAGTGTCTACTGGCTCAGATTCACCCATCCAGCTATTACAGTTACCATCTCTCCAGATCCATTCTCAGTGTCCCAGGAATCTAAAGTACTCCCTTCTGTGCCATCTTTCCAGCTACATATTCACCTGTCTTCTTATTTCTGTATGTACTGCTCATGACACTGAGAGTAATCTGGATGTTATTGCTTCAGAGATCTGCTTGCTAATTTTCTACTTGCTCCCAAATTCTTATTACAGGGCCACAGCCCCATTCTAATTTATCTTGTTAGTATCAATATGGTATACGGTCTCTGACTATTTGCCCTCCCCCAGAAGAATATCTGTTTGCCAATCTGTTGTCATCTTCACAACATTACTTTCTTGCCAATCTTTTTGTCACCTGCACATTTAGCCACCGTGTCTTTGATCCCCTCATCTGAGTTACTGATATAAATTGTAAAAACATGAGGGCCCTGTGGGACTCGACTCATCAAATCCTGCCAATCTGAAAAAAAGACATATTTCTCCATGCTGTCTGTTTTCTACCAGCTAGCTAATCTTCACTCCATGCTAGCATATGTTATCCTCTATACCAAGATCTCCTGTATTGCACAATAACTATTCATGTGGAATATTTTCACAAGACTCTTTGCATGTTTAGAAGTTCCTATTGGTACGTATTGACTTAGCCCTAAGATTGAGGTGAAATGTAAATGTATTTGTATTCCAGTGATTTCTAACCACCTCTTGCATCCTGTGTTTTGAACCCTAATTTTTGTATGTGTTAGCTTTTCTCCATCTCCCCCTGTTCACAACTTGAAGCATGAGCTTGTGAGCATATGTTCTCGAGCAGATCATCTAAGGTCTCCAATGCAATTGGTGTGAGATGTTGCAAAGATTGGCTGACAGGTTTTTTTAATGTATGCAGTGTTTGGGGAAATAATAACATGGAATTCGTTAACATTTTAATCACATCTCATATCAAACCACCCTCTAAGAAAAGAATCATTGATTTATTCAATTTGTTTTACTGTGCCACTATTTAAATGTAAATTGTTCACCAAATATTTTCTAAGGAAAAACGTTCCGAATGTGTAACAAAGCCTTAGCCTGCTCCCAAACCTCTCGACTTCATGCATTTTAGTTTTTGATTTACTGAATTCTAACAGTTCCATACTTCTAAAAATAAACTGTTTTCCTTAGAAATTTTTGTTCTAAAATTAATTTCTTGCAACCATATTTCCTTAAGTTTCTTTCTTTAGTTAAAGGTAGTTTAAACTTAACTATTAGAGTGGCAGATGGAGTTTAACCCTGAAAAGTGTGAGGTGATTCATTTTGGAAGGACAAACTTGAAAGCAGAATACAGGGTTAACGGAAAGGTTCTTGGCAGTGTGGAGGAGCAGAGGGATCTTGGCGTTCATGTCCACAGTTCCCTGAAAGCTGCCACCCAGGTGGATAGAGTTGTTAAGAAGGCGTATGGTGTGTTAGCTTTCATTAATAGAGGGATTGAGTTCAAGAGCCATGAAGTTATGCTCCAGCTATATAAAAGCCTGGTTCAGCCACATCTGGAGTAATGTGTCCATTTCTGGTTGCCTCATTACAGGAAAGGTGTGGAAGCGTTGGAAAAGGTACAGAGGAGATTTATCAGGATGTTGCCTGGAATGGAAGGAAGGTCTTACGAGGAAAGGTTGAGAGAGCTAAGGCTTTTCTCTTTAGAACGACAAAGGATGAGAGGTGACTTGATAGAGGTGTACAAAATGATCAGCGGTAGAGTGGACAGACAGAGACGTTTTCCTCGGGTGGAGGTAGCTATTACGAGGGGGCATAATTTTAAAGTGAGTGGAGGTAGATATAGTGGAGATGTCAGAGGTAGATTCTTTACTCAGAGAGTGGTCGGGGCGTGGAATGCATTGCCGGAGAGGGTAGTGGAGTCGGCCTCATTAGGGGCATTTAAGCTGCTATTAGATAGGCATATGGATGATAGTATAAGGTAGGGGTGGAGGTTAGATAGACCTTAGGTTTAGGGTAAAAGTTCGGCACAACATCGTGGGCTGAAGGGCCTGTACTGTGCTGTACTGTTCTATGTTCTATTATAAATACAGCACAACGTAAGCACAAAGTACTCTGGATGCCCTGTGAGCAATGATGTTGGAGGTGTCTGGATCGAGTTGATCCTGTGATCGATAGACCTGGGACAGTAGGAAGTCAAATTCATATTGCTTTGCTAATCAGTTAGCTTCAGTTTAACATTGCAACTCAACATTAAAATAATTTACACAAACATAATGATAGCAACAAACAATACAAATAAGCCAATGGATCAGTATCAAGGCATTACTGACAACTCCCATGGAACATCCTCCAGGCACAGCTATATTTTATATTTTCTTTTTGATGGTGCCAGATCCGCCATCATCAGGTCCCAATTATACATGGTCCTTATGGTAATGGTTAACGGAGGACATGATTCATTTGCTTTCAGCTTCTCAGTGATGGGTCTGTACTCATTGGAATTTAGAAGAATGAGAGGCAATCTTTTTGAAACATACACGATTCTTAGTGGACTTGACAGGAAGAATGCAGAAAGGTTGTTTCCCCTGTTGGGTAGGTCTAGGACCAGAAGATGTAATCTCAGAGCAAAGAGTCACCCGTTTAAAACAGAACACAGAGGAATTTCTTCTCTCCCAGAGAATGAATCAGTGGAATTCTTTACTGCAGACAGATATCAAGGCTCAGACATTCAGTATATTCAAGGCTAAGATAGACACAATTTTAATCAATAAAGGGAGGGTTATAAGGAATAGGTGGGAAAGTGGCATTGAGGATTACTCCAGCAGCCATGACTGAATGATGGAGTAGAGTTGATGGGCTGAAAGGTATACTTCTGTCCCATGTCTCACGCTCAAGCAGGATGCAGTTACCTTGAGCAAAAATACTCCAGATGCTGGGAATCTGAAATCAAAACTGAAAATTTTGGAAAACAAAGTCCAATCAATGTGGATGTTTGAAATCAGAAACCCAAACAGAAGTTGCAAGAAAAACTCAGCAGGTCTGCAGCATCTGTGGGGAGAAAACAGAGTTAGTGTTTCGGATCCAGTAAACAAGGGACCTGCTGTTGGGGATTAGTTACCTCGCTTGTCTAGAGTCTGCTGCATAATGACACCAGTGCATCAGTTCAACCCTGTGCCACCTGAGATATTTCATGGAGATCTGCTTCCCTGCCTAACCCCACAGTTGCAGAGTGGTGTGCCTCAAGCAAAATGCAACCAGTTTTCGAATGGACAGAAATATCTATGGTCCCTTGTGGACTGTGGCTAATTCTTGACTTGCTGATATCAAAACCTTCTTAGAAGCCGTGTAATGATTTCTACATATTGCTGTCACTTCAGTTCAAATATTAATGTCTAAAAGAGGCGATTGTTTCATTCACATTTCAGATGGAAAGCATTTAATTATATGTATACATCAATACTATCTATTTTATATTTGAGTTTTGCTTTATGCACGTTAAACTCACAACTAAATGAGCATGCATATATTTGGAACATACCAAAAAAGGGCATGCATTAACTAATTGTATGAATTTAACATTTCACAACTTTTACTAACCAAATTAACTCCTCTACAATTCTGATCTGTAAAATTTTCAGCTGGATCCTGCCATTAAAATCTTTGCAGATAGAAGTGGAACTCCCAAAAAACGAAAAGCACCACCACCACCACCACCACTAAGCAGTACTATGCAGGTAAAGGATAAAGGGGCTAATTGATGGCCATCTGATTAGCCAGATTAATATGTATATATAGAAATTTGGCCACATCTAATAAAGGTTCCTATTGATTTACTGTAATTTAAACAATGTTTAGTTGTTTTATTTCTCAATGAGGATTCATGATGGCAGTCAGTGATTTAATTATTGATAATTTGTGGTGTTTTGTCTAGGGTTCCCAATCTAGTGAAGTGCCATTTCCAGAGTCACGTAGCCCTCGTTCATCAGGATGTGAGTCATCAAAAGTAGAAGAAACATCAGTTAAGGTAGTTTTTAACCTAATGTCTAGTGTTCATAAGATACTTCCATAGCCTTAGCAATTGAGAAATAATGTTACTTTGACCTTTTTTTATGGAAGAAAGGAGCTCCGCATTTCTGGGAGAAGATTCCTATAACTCTTCCTAAGAATTGCAAAGCCGTATTCCATTCTGACAGGTCTTTCATAGTACAGAGCTCTGAGGAAGGCGACCGATGTCCCCTTTTCACACTAGTCAGCTGCAATATTTACAATATCAAGGTCCTGATAGCCCCTTTGACAGCTTATAACAAACTTTTAAGTATATAAATTATGTGTAATAGGCTACTGAGAGGGCATGGTACCAAAGAGCCTGGTAAGTAGGATACAGTTGGGGCAGGGTAGAGTCCTGGGGACAGGATACCAGATGAATAGGGGAAGGGTACTCGGTGAGTCGGCTGCCAGAGGTGGGTTGCCAGATATGTTGGGTCCCAGGAGGGTGTTGCGTCAGGTTCTGGATATAGTTTGGTATGTGTGAGTAAAGTATGGGGTCTGTTGAATAGCTATTCAGGAGTTAGACTATGTACTTAAACATAAGTACCTTCTCCTAAATAACTATTTTACTGAATTTAAAGGGAACCATCTGAAGTCTTCAATTTAATGGAGACTTTCAGAGGATTCCAGGCATAAAGGAATTGTCCTGAAGAAAATTCAATTTCCCAGGAAATTCCTTTGGAATCTGCTACAGTGGGGTTTCTGCAGTTTCTGATATGCAATTCCAACCTACAGTGGAATGACAACTGTCTGGGCAGCCAACATCATGACTTCAAATTTTAAATATTTACTTTGCTGAAGAGACCTTGGTCACAGAAAAAATGCAGATTCTCATTTGGTTTACTTCGTCTACCTGTGGAAAAGTTGTATTGGAGCAAGTAGAAGCATTAAATGGCCATGTTTAAAGGACATCTAATACTGCTTGCAGTATTTGTTGTATATGAGGGAGAAGGTGCAGATATTCAATTGTAAGCTTTTATTATACACTGATAATATGAAGAAGAAGAATGAGCAGCTTTGCTGATAGTTAAACCATTGCGAGAAAGGGTTTTCCCTCCTTTTACCTAGAGGTTTGAAGAAATGGGCTGAGTTTTAATATTAAAAGAAGGGTGTTCTTTGCCAAATCAACCTCGAATCTGCCCAAGTCTAATTTTAACTGAAGAAGCAATCAGCAGGTTAAAACTTTATATACGATAACTAGGCAGTGAGCCTCAATGACTTTAACTGTTGTTGACAATGTTTCCTGGGTCTTGGGCAACCTTGCAGCTTTGTCAATGTGAGAACATGGTGGATTCAGGCAATACATGTCTTTGCAACCACCTTCTGATCCAGATGCTTGAGAAGCTGCTACAATCAGTCATCACTCCTAATGATCCTTTCTCCCCTCTCCTACCCACAACCCCGCCACCGCCCCCCCCACACACGGTCCACCAACTGATCTCCCACCCCCACAGTATGCACCCCACTCCCCATCCTTTTGCAGCTCCATTCAACTGTTCCCTGTCAAATTGTGACCCCCTGCCCAGCCCCCACCCACCCCCGCACCCCCGCTGGTCTGAACTGCTGCTGTCACCACTGCATTCTAATCATCTGGAGGCCCAAGCTGTCAGTCAGACACTGGGATTTAATCCCCTTCGTGTATAGGGTTGTTCCAAATTTGGATTCCCCATAACATTCTGACCAACGCATTCACCTTCAGTCAGCAAAGTGAAAGTACCCACTAATTTACTTGGTGCAGATTTTGCAATACAAGTGATGTGTAATATGTAAGTGATAAGCATTTTAATTTGTTAACAATTTATTGTACTGTGCACTTTGAAAAGAAACATTTTAAACCTCCCTAGTACCCCAACCTTGAAAGAAGTTAACAGATGAAACAAAATTATGTTGTCATTCTTAGTGGACAGTTGTCTTCTCTCCAAGTTTCCAAGTGTCCAAATTTCACTTAGCTGACTGCAAAGATGAAAATTTAATTAACCTCATCACCAACCATTTTCATTTCTGTTTGGAGGAGATAGCCTTGTTCATTTTGATATATTTGTGTTACAGGAAAGAGAGAACAATGAAGAAATGAGAAAACTTCAAGCAGAGAAGGCAAATTTGCTGGAGGTGATACAAAACCTAAATCAGCAACTGCGAGATAAAAACCTCCAAGAGGTATTTTTCTTTTCAAATTGAGTGTACCTGCTGTGTCAGTGGATGCTGGACCGATTGCAATTTTTAAGACTGACAAAGAGACCTTTGTTGGATAAGGATATCCAGGGAGTGGGAACAGACTTGAGTTAATGCAGTTCCAATCACCCATAATCTGATCAATTCATAGGATCATTTAGTACGGAAGAGGATCTTTCAGTCTGAATTGCCAAGAAAAATTACTACTTAAACTAATCCCATTTTCCCACTCTCCAGGCCTATAGTTTAGAATTTTATGACACTTCAAGTGCTTATCCAAGTACTTTTCAAAGGTTATGAAAATAAGCTATATGTCTATTTCCTGTTCCTGTGGTAATGTAAGTTTTGTATTAGATTACAGTCTACTCAATTTAACCAGCTTGTCGTATAGTATAGGACAATTATAGAAAGAAGCTGGTAACCATATGTGTAACCACCATCTGTATATGCTGTGCAGGAAATTCCATTTCAGATGGACTTCAATCATTTGAATTGCGGTCTTAATAATCTGAAATAAATCTTCTGGACAGACATTAAAAATCAAAACTCATTCTCTTCTTTCTTAATTTTTTTTAGGCACAACAAAATGTCCTCAAAAAGCATGACTGTAGAAATAGTGAAGAAGTGCCATTTGATACAATAGGTATTGTATGAGGTTGCTGGCCTGTACATTGTGCGGCTAATGCTGATACATATTTGTAACTGTTTTTGTGATTGTCAGATATGTACTGCAGCATAAATGCAGTGTAAGCTTGTAATCACTACCAATGAAACAGTACTGTATTATAAGTTGGTTATAGGGTCCATTATTGCTTTAAGAAGCTGGATTGGACTTTCTGCTGAAATGTAACTTGCTACAGGACATAGTAAGTTGGATAGTTTTATGGAATATTTAAACAAGTTTTATTAAATGTAATGTGATCACGTGTATAAGTACCATCAAGAATAATGAGATAAATGCTTCTTCAAATGTCGAATATACATTACTGTAAACCTGTCAAGCTGCAACCTAGTTCCCTTTTAAAGGTGACTGTTGTCTCAAATTTCAAACTTTAGCTGTGAGTTTGCTTCACCTCCTTTAGAGTACTTGGCTTAATTTGATTCTTTATCCAATTGGCTGAACAAACAAGACAAAGTAGGGAATCACATGCAAGATATGTTGAGCAGCACATTACTTAGGCCTGAGTTTTCACACTTGAGCAAGGAGTTCAGAGTTGGGAAAATTCCCAGTTCCACAAGCCTAACCCAGGGGAAAGTGTACAAACAGGAAGCTGAAAGAACACAGCAAAAGACCACACCAGGGGAAAGTGTCCTGGACAGTTGGATTTTTGTTATTGGGGTGTAAGTGTTAGCAGGAATCAGACCTTTCATCCCAAGAGTTTGGAGGCAGCCCATGGACTGCTGGCTTTGGAGGTGAGCAGTGGGGAAAGGTCTTTCTTGATGGCTTTGGACATTTTCATTGCTGTTTGAGAAAAGAATGAAACAAGAAAAACAACAGACCTCCAACCTTCAACATTTTGCATCTCTTCAACCGCTACGTTCACTACCTTAAGGTTATTTCATTTAATTAATCCCTTATAAATGCAAGCACTTATATTCGTAGCCCACTTCAAAATATTTGATAAGAAATAGTGCTGTCAATCAAACTATGAACTGACAGGCACTATATTGTGATAGCTTGCGAGATCAGTTCCAATGCATTAATCCACTTTTTACAGATGGACATGTCTACTTTTAACAATCCCAAAAGGCACCTGACCTCTCCCAAAGATTTTTGTGGACCTTTTCTAAAGGTTCTCCACCCTACCCAAATAACTGCAGTGGCTTTAGACATCCACCTGAAAAATATAATGTCCATACCTCTTGTTTTGGACATACAAACTACAATACATATAAGCACTTACCAAACTCTGTATCAAAAAAAAAAGCTCGGCTCCCACATCTCCTTTAAAATTACCCCTTTTTTACTTTAAACCTATGTCACCTAGTAACTAACATCTCTACTCTGGGAGGAGAAAAAGACTGACTATTCATTTTATTCATGCCTCTGATAATGTTGTAAACTTCTATCAGGCCACCCCTCATTCTTCAACATTCAAATGAAAACAAACCAAGTTTGCCCAATCTCTCCTTGTAACTAACACTCTCCAAAACAGGCAGCATCTTGCTAAACCGTTTCTGTACCCTGTCCCAAGCTTCTACTTCCTTCCAGAACTGGAACTGTTCACAGCATTCCAAATATGGCTGAACTAACGTTCTATACAGCTGCAACATGACTTGCTAATTCATATACTGTGCCCCAAACGATGAAGGCAAGCATGCCATGTGCCATCCTGATCACCTTATCCACTTGTGTTGCCACTTTCAGATAACTCTGGACCTGTACTGTTAGATCCCTCGGTATGTTGATGTTGAGAAGGGTTTTGCTATTTACTGTACATTTCCCTCCTGCATTAGATCTCCCAAAATATATCACCTCACATTTGTCCAGATTAAATTCCATCTGCCATTTCTCTGCCTAAGTCTCACATTTATCTATATCCTGCTGTATCCTCTGGCAATCCACCTCCCCCTCCGCAGCTCCTACAATCTTTATGTCATCTGCAAATTTACTAATTAGGCCACTTACGTATGGCTCCAAATAATGGAATACATTACAAACAACAGGGGTCCCTGCACTGATCCCTGCAGAACACCACTGGTCACAGATCTCCTGTCAGAAAAACACCCTTCCACCGCTACTCTGTCTTTTATGACTAAGCCAGTTCTCTAACCATCATACCAGATCATTGTGGATCCCATGTGATTTCACCTCTTGTATCCACCTGTCATGAGGGACCTTGTCAAAGGCCTTGCTGAAGTCTGTCTGGACAACATTCACCGCCCTGCCCCCGTCAATTATCTCTGTCACTTGCTCAAAAAACTCAATCAAGTTTGTGAGACATGACCTTCCATGCACAAAGGCATGCTGCCTATTGCTAATAAGCCAATATTTTTTCAAACGTGAGTGAATCTTATCCCTAAGAATCTTCTCCAATAGCTTTCCTACTACTAACGTAAGGCTCACCAGTCTGTAATTTCCCAGATTATCCATCTTTCCCTTCCTAAAGGAATAATGTTGACTATTCTCAAGTCCTCTAGGACCTCTCCTGTGACTAAAGAGGATACAAAGATTTCATACAAGGCTCCAGCAATTTCCTCACCTGCCTCCCTCAGCATTCTGGGATAGATCCCATCAGATCCTGCGGCTTGTCTATCTTAATGCTTTTCAAAACACCCAACACCTTCTCCTTTTATATTTTGACATGCCTTAGAATATCATACAACATACCCCTTCTGAGACTGACCATCTGCCATGTTCTTCTCCTTTGTGAATGCTGATGCAAAGTATTCGTTAAGGACCTCGCCCAATTCCTCTGGTTCCATGCATAAGTTCCCTCCTTTGTCCTTGAGTGGACCTAACCTTTCCCTAGTTATCCCATGCTTATTATTTATTTATAAAATGCCTTGAAATTTTCCTTAATCCCGTTTGCCGAAGATATTTCATGGCCCTTTTAGCCCTCCCAATTCCTTGTTTGAGTTCTTTCCGGCTATTTTTGTATTCTTTTAGGGCTCTGTCTTCAGTTTCCTAAGTCTGACATATGCCTCCTTTTTACTTTTGACTGAGCTTTCAATTTCTCTTGTCATCCAAAGTTCCAGAATCTTGCCATGCTTACCCTTCATTTTCACAGCAACATGCTGGTCCTGAACTCCAATAAACTGGCCTTCAAAAGATTCTGACATGCCAGATAAAAACCGAAAGACCTGCAGAACTAGTTCTGAGGAAGGGTCATCGAACCCGAAACGTTAACTCTGATTTGTCTTCACAGATGCTGCCAAACCTGCTGAGCTTTTCCAGCAATCTCTGTTTTTGTTTCCAACATGCCAGATGTGGATTCACACTCAACCAGCCACCCCCCAGTTTACATACCCCAGTTCCTGACAAATGTTATGGTAGTTAACTTTCCCCTAGTTTGGTACTGTCACCTGAGGACTACTCATATCCTTATTCAGAAGTAACTTAAAATTCACTGGATGAGGCCTCCAAAGTGTCCTCTCTCAGTACAGCTGTGATATCCCAACTCTGTCAACTCTTTACATTCCTCTCTATCTCACCTGAAACATTAACCTGCCAGTCTTGTCCTTCTCTCAACCAAGTCTCTGTAATAACTACAACATCATATGTTCAATGTATTAATCCAGCTCTAAGTTCACCTGCCTTACCTATAATTCACCTCGCATTAAAACAAATAGACCTCAGACCGGCAGTCTGTGTTCAGTAACATCTGCCCGATCCCTGCCACATTGCTTTGTATGTTCCACCAGTTGCAAGTTCAAAACAAAGTCCTCCTCACTAACATTTAGAGGTTAGTGCCAAAATTGCGAGAGCTGTCTCACAGGCTGGCCAAGCAAAAGTCTAACGTAGTCATACTCATGGAATCACGCCTGACAGACAACGTCCCAGACACCACCATCACCATCCTTGGGTATGTTTTGTCCCACCGGCAAGACAGATGCAGCAGGGGTGGTGCCACAGTGGTATGCAGTTGGGAGGGAGTTGCCCTAGGACTCTCAAACATTGACTCCGGACCCCATGAAATCTCTTGGCTTCAGGTGGAACGTGGGCAAGGATAAAACCTGGTGTTACCTCATACCATCCTCCATTGGCTGATGAATTAGTACTCTTCCATGTTGAATAACACCTGGGGGAAGCACTCAGGGTGACAAAGACATAAAATGTACTATGGGTGGGGAATTTAAATGTCGACCATCAATATGGGCAGCAGCACTATTGATTGAGCTGGTCAGGCCCTAAAGGAGATAGCTGCTAGACTGGCAGTGCAGCAGGTGGTGAGGGAACCAATGAGGGAAAAGCATACTTGATATCATCTTTAGCAAGTTGACAGCTGCCGATGCATCTATCCATAACAATATCAGTAAGAGTGACCAGTGGAGACGAAGTCCTGCCTTCACGTTGAGAATACCCTCCATCATGTTGTGTGGCACTATCATTGTGCTAAATGGGATAGAATTCAAACAGATTTAGCAACTCAAGACTGGACATCTGTGAGGCACTGTGGGCCATCAACAGCAGCAGAATTATAGTCCAGCACACCGTGCAACCCCATTCAACCATTACCACCAAGCCAAGGGGTCAACGCTCATTCAATGGAGAGTGCAGGAGGGCATGCCAGGAGCAGCACCAGGCATACCTGAAGATGAGGTATCAACCTGGCAAAGCTACCAAACAAGACTACCTGCATACCAAACAGCATAAGCAGCAAGTGATAGACAGAGCTAATAGAGCTAAGCAATCCAACAACAAATGGATCAGATCTAAGCTCTGCAGTCCTGCCAAAACTAGTCGTGAATGGTGGTGGACAATTAAATAAGTCATTGCAGAAGGGGGCTCCATAAATAGCCTCATCCTCAATGATGGAAGAGTCCAACACACCAGTGCAAAAAATAACATTTTGCAGTAATCTTCAGCCAGAAGTGCTGAGTGGATGATCCATCTTGGCCTCCTCCAATGGTCCCCAGCATCATAAATACCGGTTTTCAGCTAATTTGATTCACTCAGTGTGATATCAAGAAATGGTTGGAAGCACTGGATACTACAAAGGCTATGGCCTATGGGCTATGGGCAATAGTGAAGGCAGGACTTGTGCTCCAGTACTTGCCACTCCCCTAGCCAAGCTATTCCAGTATAGTTTCAAAATTGGCATCTAGCCAACAATGTGGAAAATTGCCCAGCTATGTTCTGTACATGAATAAACAGGATAAATCCAACGTGGACACTTGATACCCCATCAGTCTACTCTCGATCATCAGTAAAGTGCTGGCAGGTGTTATCAACAGTGCTTTCAAACAGCTCAGTGACGCCTAGTTTGGGTTCTGCCAGGACCACTCAGCCCCTGGCCTCATTACAGCCTTGGTTCAAACATGGACAAAAAAGCTGAATTCCAGAGGTGAGGTGAGAATGACAGCCCTTGACATCAAGGCTACATTCAACCGAGTGTGGCATCAAGCAGCCCTAGCAAAACTGGAATCAATGAGTATCACGGAACAAACTGTCTGCTGGTTGGAGTCATACCTGGCATGTAGGACAATGGTTGTGGCTGTTGGAGGTGAGTCATCTCAGCTCTATGGCATCTCTGCAGGAGTTCTTCAGTGTCGCGTCCTAGATAGAATCATCTTTAGCTGCTTCATCAATGACCTTTGTTCCATCAGATCAGAAGTGGGGATGTTCACTGATGATTGCACAAAGTTCAGCACCATTCACAACTCCTCATATACTGAAGCAGTCCGTGTTCAAATACAATAAGATCTGGACAATATCCAGGCTTGGGCTGACAATTGGAAAGTAACATTTGCACCAGACAAATGCCAGGCAATGATCATCATGAATTAGAGACAATCTAACCATGACTGAATCCCCCACTGTCAACATCTTGGGGTTATCATTGACCAGATATTCAACTGGATTTGCCACATAAACACAGCGACTACAACACCGGGTCAGAGGCTAGGAATACCGTGGCAAGTAACTCACCTCCTGAATCCCCAAAGCATGTCCACCTTCTACAAGGCACCAGTCAGCAGTGTGACGTAACACTCTCCCCTTACCTGGATGGGTGCAGCTCCAACAACATTGAAGAAGTTTGACACCATTCAGGGCAAAGCAGTCTGTTTGATTGGCACTACATCCAGAAGCATCCACTCCATGCACCAAGATGCAATAACAGCAGTGTCGACAATCAACAAGATGTGTTACAGAAATTCATCAAAGATCCATAGATAGCACCTTCCAAACTCATGACCACTTCCATCTGGAAAGACAAGGGCAGCAGATACATGGAATGTTGCCACCTGCAAGTTCCCATTCAAGCCACTAACATCATAACTGGGCAATATATCGCTGTTCAATCACTGTTGCTGGGTCAGAATCCTGGAATTCCCTCTCTAATGGCGTTGAAAGTCAACCTACAGCATGTGAACTGTAGTAGTTCAAGAAGACAGCTCACCACCTTCTCAAGGGCAAGTAGGGACAGGCAATAAATGCTGGCCATCCTGGGATGCCCAAATCCCACAAGAGTATTTTAAAAAAAAACACTGATCAAGTATAGTAGCATAATCACCATAATATTCATTTAATTTTATTTCTCAATGGTTTGTAATCATATAAAAAGTCGAAAACCATATAACTGTGAAATACATGGGGCTTGTGTCTGATTTTTAATGTAAATTTGATCAGTTTAAATTGATTTTTCCACATTCAATCCGCGTTTTTTTAAACTAATTTCTCTTTTCCGTAGTTGCAATGCATTATTCCAAAAATTTGAATCACGTAAAAATAATAGCTTTAAATTGTACTGTGCTCAGTGTATTTACATAATATCTATTCACTGCAATTCTATTTCATATTGGTCAATGAATGTCCTTCATTTAGTTTAACATTGAGATGACCTTCATTCTGCATTTCAAATGTACTAAAGATCTGTTTATAAATGCTCAGACATAATCTCAGATATAATAATTGATTGTCTTTTAGGTAGTGGAAGTAAAAAAACTGAAACCTCGTTTGTTGAAGAACCAGACCAAATAATGGCATTGCAATCCCAAATTGCTTCTCTTGAGGTGCAAAATAAAGAGTTATGGGGTATATTGCAGGTACTTTAGATAATCTATGATTCTTTATTAGTTATTTATTAGCATTTGAATCCCTTTACAGTTTTGATCTTGATATCTATACCTTCAAATTATGATCCAATGCATGTCTGTTCAACCAGTAATTGTCATTGATTTTGCCATTGAAATTTATGGTAAGAGAAATGTTTCGGCCTGGAAATATTTACAAGTGCATCTCTCATAACATTGCTTATAAGCCTAGGATCAAATGTTGCTTTTGATGTAGAGACAAAGAGTAAACAACAGAGTGAAATCCAGGCAGAGAAGAAAGCATGTTTGTACAAAATATTTTGCTTTACCACCAAAATAGTCAATTTGTTTGTCTTCATTATTGCTATCTGGAACAAACAAGACTTTCGCCAAGTTTCTTTATCAAAATAGTTCAAAAATAATTGTATATTAAGCACAAATGTATTCTTCAAACAGTGGCAAAATGGGTTATGAATAAAGATACTGTGCAGATTTAAACTTTATCCCTCTCCATCAGGATGGGATAAATAGTTACCTTATTGATAATGATCTAACTGGGCATAGTCAGCATGGATTAGTAAATGGGATCATGTTTGACAAACTGGTTAAAGATGTTACGAACAAGATTGGTAAGGGAGAGCAAATGGACACATTATACATAGAACTTCAGATGGTTTTGATAAGGTCCCCCAATGGAGGATAGTTACATAGAACATAGAACATAGAAAGTTACAGCGCAGTACAGGCCCTTCGGCCCTCGATGTTGCGCCGACCTGTGAAAACCAATCTGAAGCCCATCTAACCTAAACTATTCCATTATCATCCATATGTTTATCCAATGACCATTTAAATGCCCTTAAAGTGGGCGATTCTACTATTTTTGCAGGCAGGGCATTCCACGCCCTTACTACTCTCTGAGTAAAGAACCTACCTCTGACATCTGTCCTATATCTATCACCCCTCAATTTAAAGCTATGTCCCCTCGTGCTAGCCATCACCATCCGAGGAGAAAGGCTCCCACTGTCCACCCTATCTAATCCTCTGATCATCTTGTATGTCTCTATCAAGTCACCTCTTAACCTTCTTCTCTCTAACGAAAACAGCCTCAAAACCCTCAGCCTTTCCTCATAAGACCTTCCCTCCATACCAGGCAACATCCTGGTAAATCTCCTCTGCACCCTTTCCAATGCTTCCACATCCTTCCTATAATGCGGTGACCAGAACTGTACGCAATACTCCAAGTGCGGCCGCACCAGAGTTTTGTACAGCTGCAACATGACCTCATGGCTCCGAAACTCAATCCCTCTACCAATAAAACCTAAGATACTGTACGCCTTCTTAACAACGCTATCAACCTGGGTGGCAACTTTCAGTGATCTATGCACATGGAAAGTTAGAAAGACTAAAGCATATTGAATAGGAGGTAATGTGCTGCACAAACTAAACAGAGAGTGGGAAACAGTGAGCGATACTCCTGTTGGCAGGCTGTGATTTGTGGGTAACCGCAATGATCGGTACATGAGCCCCAGCTGTTCACTTTTTATAGGATTTGGAGGTGGGGGCAGTGGTAATATTTCCAAATTTGCAGATGATACAAAGATAAGTGGGAATGTCTTGTGATGAAGGTGTAAAATGGCTTCAGGAGGATTTGAACAAGCTTAGTGAATGGTCAAGAATATGGACAAATTGACTGTGGAAAAATGTGAGGTTATTGACTTGGGACAAGAAACAGGTGTGTCAGATATTTCTTAAATGTTAAGAGGTTGGAAAGTACGAAAGAATCTTGTTAGTGAATGTCAATATGCAGATGCAGTAAGTTGTTGGGAAGGCTACTGAATGCTAGCCTGTATTGTGAGAGGATTTGAGTATCATAGTGAAGTTTTGCTTCAATTATATAGGAGCTTGGTTAAAATACACATGAAGTACTGTGCGCAGTTCTCCTTGTGTCAGGAAAGATATTGTCTGAGTCGGTGTACAGCCTCAACCGTTCTTCCCTTCAAACGAAGCACAGTGGCTGCTAAAGATGTGCTGCAGTATCTCACCAAGGCTCCTTTGATAACACCTTTCAAACCCACGAATTTACCAGCAGATGCTTGGGAGTACCACCGTTCTTTCACTGTTGCAAGATCAAAATCCTGGAACTTCCTTCCCAATAACACTGTGGGTGTCCCTACACCTCAGGTACTGCAGCAGCTCAAGAAAGTGAGTCACTACCATCACCTACAGGCCATGTAGGGATAAGCAATAACCAAACCAGAAATTGCTGGAAAAATACAGCAGATCTGACAGCATCTGTGGAGAGAAAGCTGAGCTGATGTTTTGGGTTCAGTGATGCCTTCTTCAGAATGGGCCCAAAACGTTAACTCTGCTTTCTCTCCACAGATGCTGCCAGACTTGCTGGGTCTTACCAGCAATTTCTGATTTTGTTTCTAACTTCCAGCATCTGCAGTTCTTTGTTTTCTTTCACTGGGTAGTAAAAGCTTCCCTACCCAGCCATGCTCACATCCTATGAATAAATGAAAGAACATACCCCAATCATTTTTTAAAATGTTTATCTTCATTTAGTTTTTTTCATCTTAATATAATCATAATCATTAGTTCCCTGAAAATATTAAGTAAGGAAAAGATGTTTTTTTTTACATCTTGGTTTGTTGTTTGTGAGCAGGGGTATTGTGCTAATGCCCTGGGATTTGAATTCAATTTCCACCATAGATGCTGGTGAATTTGTGATTTGTTAAGAAATCTGGAACTGAAAGCCAGTGTCAGTGATGGTAGCCATGAGACAGCCATAATCATCATAAAAAACCCACTTGAGTCACTAATGGCTTTTAGTGAAATAAGTTTGCAATCCTTACCTAGTCTGACATGTATGTGACTCAGTCCACAGCAAGGTGATTGGCTTTTAACTACCTGAGCAAATTGCTTGCTTCAAGAGCAATTAAAAATGTGAAACAAGTGCTGGCCTTTCCAGCGATGCCCCCATCTCAGGAAATAACTTTTATTTTAAATAATAATGTTTGGTGACTTACTAGTTTGCTGGCATCATATAAACATAGAACTTATGAACTGGAATAAGTCAATTTGCACTTCATGGCAAATGGGGCAGCACGGTGGCTCAGTGGGCAGCACTGCTGCCTCACAACACCAGGGACCAGGGTCCAATTCCAGACATGGTCTGTGTGGAGTTTGCACAATCTTCCTGGGTCTGCGTGGGTTTCTTCCACGTGCTCCAGTTTCCTCCCACAGTTCAAAGATGTGTAGATTAGGTGGATTCGCCACACTTTGTCCATAGTATCCAGGGATGTGTGGGCTAGGTGGGTTAGCTATGGGAAATGTAGGTTCACAGGGATAGGGTAGGGGTGTGGGTCTGGGTGGGATGCTGCTTGAAGGTTTGGTATGGACTTGATGAGCTGAATGGCCTGTGGGGATTCTATGATACATGTCTGCTCCATTATTCAATGAGGTTGTGATAAATCTGATTGTAGTCTTAACTCCACTTGCTTATCTGACCTCCATTACCCTGGGCTCCCCTTGTCTAGTGAAGATCTATCCAATTCAGCCTTGAATAAGCTGTTACCCAGCTGCCACTGTTTTCTGGGGAAGAGAATTCCACAGAGTAATGACCCTTTTGAGGTTAAAAAAATCCCTAATTTCAGTCTTAAAGTAACTGCCAATTGATCCACTTGACTTGGTGCCAAATTTAAACTGATATCAGGAAATGAAAGACAAGGCTGTCCTTAGAAATTTGTGGACTGTGTTCTTTTTGGTCAGAGTTGCTTGCTGTAAATTGCAATGTCCTTCATATGTAAATTGTACCTGATGTTCTACCTTGGCAAAACAGGATTTGTCAAAGGTATTTTTATGAAAATGTTCGCTCTTTTAAACTGGTAAATTACTGTTTAATTCTGAATTTAATTTCATTTACAGGGAAAGCATTCACAGGACATTGTAACGAGCACATTGCCACAGGATGAGCAATCAAGACAAAATCTAGAAACATCATTTGATTTAAATTTTAATTCAGAAGATTCCCAAAGTACTCTTAAAGCTGATTATATCCAGCTAAAGGAACTGTATAAGAATGCAGAAGCAGAAATTACAAACCTCAGAGCTGAGATGTTTTCAAATCTGTCAAATAGTTCGCTCCAAACAAAAACTTTTGAACAAAGGAACAGTAATACAGGGGCAAAGGATGTACCTGACCAAGAAACTCCTCATACATTAGCAATGGGTTTGTTGACTGAACTCTCTGAGGAAAATAGTCAGACATTAGGGGAAATTAACGAGAATGGTTATTGTCTTGAAGAGAAACTCCGAGAAACACAGAGCAAATATGACGAGGCACTGAAAGAACTTTCCAGTCTGCGAGCACAGGTACAACAGGATTTGTGCTGCAAGGAGGAACGTATGCCTTTACCAAATTTGGAAGAGTTGACTCAGACTTACGAGGATGAGATCGAAGAACTAAAGCAAAGACTTAAAAGAGCTTTGGAAGATGAAGAAAAGGCCAATAACAACCTGAGAGAAATGGAAGAACTGCTGGAAATAAAAGATAAAATCTTGGCTAAATGTATGTCTGTGGAAGAGTGTGAGGAATTAAGAAATTCTCAAAGCTTACTTTTGGAGAATGTCAATCAAGAGAAGGCACTATTAATTGAGAAGTATGAGGAAGCACAAGAAGAAATTAAAAAGCTACAAGAAAAACTGAACCATCAGACCTCTTCTCAAAGAGACAACTACTTGCAAGAGATGGTGACAGCACTGAACAGAACAATCGATGATCTGAATACACAAGTAACTGAAATCGCACAGCAGTACAATGATGCAAAATGTGAGTTAAAACAACTGAAGAATAAAAAGACTGAAGTGGCATCTGAGCATATTAATTCAAACTATATCCACAAAGAACAGCATGAACAACTAGTACAAGTTCTAAATGATTCTGTAGATGAATTGAAGGAAAAGCTATCAGAGATGGAGATGAAGGTTAAGGAAGCTGAGCAGGACAATACAATGTTGCAGAAAGAGCTTGAGCTTCAAATGCAGACTTCTGTACCTCTCTCTGAACATAATCAAATTAAAATTACCCTTGAAAATACAATAAAAACTTTTAATGGAAAAGTGCGCCAGATGGAGCAAGGGCTTGAGCAGAAAGAAATAGAGCTGAATATCTTGCAAGGAAATTTGGCAACAAAAACAGCTGCTGTTCAAGAAGCAATGGTTCCAAAATCAGAGCATGAGAAGTTAAAAGTTTCATTAGAGGCTGAGTCCAATCGATTAACTGCTAAAATAAATGATCTACTGAAAGAACAAGAAAAGGCATCTGCTGAAGTTGCACAAGCTCAGAAAGACCACTTGCTAGCAAAGAGTGAGCGCGATACAGCTCAAGCTCAACTTGGGGCCAAGGAACAAGAAATCAAAAGGCTTCGTGTTAGAAGCCATGACATGCAGCAAACTGTTGAAGAATTGCAAAAACAGATTAAAGAGTCCTTGAAGCTGGAAGAAGATAAAGACAAAAAGGCAAGATTTGACATCCAGTTTTGCTGTTCATTTTAATTTTGGACTCTGTGGATTTATTAGTTGGGATACTTGATAGATAATTGTCACTGAAGAATCATTTTCTGATAAGCCTCAATTTTGATATGCCGTCATCCCCCAGCTCCAATGTCTGCCCTCCCGCCATGTGCTCCCTTATCCATCAACCTCACAATAAAGACTCAATACTATATAAATTATTGACAAATAATTAAACAATATGGTGATTGTGACCTCTTCAATGAAATTATTTTTACACAAACTTAGGAAGTCAGTAATTGGAATATATCTGATATATTGTTTTGATTGTGTAAATTTAGAAACCTTTCTCTAAATGTAAGAGGGCTTCATTTTCCTTTAATTCGGTTCTCAGCAAAATATATTGAGTCCACTTATTACACAAGGCTGTTCTTCCTAACAGCAATATAAGGAGCTTTTGGGAACGATATTGGAATCTAATCCCACCTCTATTGCATTGCCAATTCAGCCACTTCTTGGGACACCCATGCAGCAAAAGTTCATTCCAAATTAGCCTTTTATTTGTGTTGCAGGAATCTGATTCAGAAACACTACACAGTTAGTCTGTGGAGAAAGAAAAATAATCTAAAGATTATTGAGCTACTAAGTGTTTCAAGCTGATTCCGTTTTTGTTTCCTGTGTGTCCTTTGCGGTTTCTTCTTTATTAACATACCAAACATTTCTCAGCCCTTCTGGATTCAAATTGAATTATGGAACAAGCTCAAGTGGTGGCATTACTGTCCCTTTTCCCATGTACGAGGATATTAATGGGAATGTTATACCAAATTCATCTTTTTTTTCTGGCCCTTGCATAATGAATCTAATCTCTCACACCAGTTGAACATATTGTATTTTGGTGTTTACACAGAACAGTGAATTGTCCAAGGAAGTGAGCAAACTAAAAGAGGCACTCAACAGTCTTTCTCAACTTTCTTATACTGCAAGCACTGTCAAAAGACAAAATCAACAGCTTGAGACACTTCAGCAGCAAGTGAAGAATTTACAACACCAGTTATCTGTAAGTAACATACATGTCCTCTTTGGGAAACTGTGTGTATGCTTGATCATATTATGTATTTCGTTATGCTGTGCTATAACATCCTTCGTAATAGATTCTAACATATTCCCAATCACAGTTGCTAAGCTAACTGGCCTACAGTTACCAATACTTTTCGTCTCAAAGAACGAAGAGAACAAAGAACAGTACAGCATAGGAACAGGCCCATATTAGAAAGGGTGCAGAAAAGATTTACAAGGATGTAATTGAGACTGGAGGGGAGTTATAAGGGGAGGCTGGATAGGCTGGGAATTTTTTTCACTGGAGCATAGGAGAGGTGACCTTACAGAGGGTTATAAAATCATGAGAGGTATAGATAAGGTGAATAGCAAAGGTCTTTTCCCTAGGGTGGGGAAATCCAAAACTGGAGAGCATGATTTTAAGGTGAGAGGAGAAAGAAATAAAAAGGACCTGAGGGCAACTTTTCACTAAGAAGGTTTGTTTGCCAGAGAATGTGGTAGATGCAGCTGCAGTTAGAACATTTAAAGACATTTGGACAGGTACATGAATAGGAAAGAATAGGAAGGATAAGGGCCAAACGCAGGCAAATGGGACTAGTATAGTTTGGGAAATTTGGTTTTGTATGACTCTATGATATGATGCCTTTCTAAACTAAAAAATCTTTTGCCTGTACGTGGTCTGTATCCCTCTATTCCTTGCCTACTCATGTATCTGTCAAGATGCCTCTTAAATATTGCTACTGTATCTGCTTCCACCACCACCTCTGGCAGTGCATTCCAGGCACTTGCCACCCTCCGTGGTCAAAAGAAACTTGCCTGTCACCTCTCTTTTAAACTTACCCCCTTTTACCTTAAACCTATGTCCCTTAGCGCTTGACATTTCCACTCTGAGTAAAGGACTCTGACTATCCATTCTGTCCATGCCTCTCATTATTCTGTACACTTCTATCAGGTCGCCCCTCATCCTTTGACATTTAGTGAAAACCCACCAAGTTTGTCCAGTCTCTCCTTATAGCTAATACCCTTCAAACTAGGCAGCATCCTGGTAAACAATTTCTGTACCCTTTCCAAAGCCTCCAGATTCTTCTGACAGTGTGGCGACCTGAACTGTACATAACATTCCAAATGTGGATGAAATAAAATTCTATACGGTTGCAACACGACTTGCAAATTTTATACTCTGTCCCCGAATGATGAAGGCAAGTATACCACATGCCTTCATCACCACCTTATCCACTTGTGCTGCCACTTTCAGGCAACTGTAGATCAGTACACCTAGATCGCTCTATGTTGATGCTACTAAGAACCCTCACTGTATACTTCCCTCTTGCATTAGATCTCCTAAAATGCATAACCTCAGATTTGTCTGGATTAAACCTCATCTGCCATTTCTGTGCCCAAGTCTCCAACCAATCTATATCCTGCTATCTCCTCTGGCAATGCTCCCCACTATCTGGAGCTCCTCCAATCTTTGTGTCACCTGCAAATTTTCTAATCAGGCCACCTATGTTCTCCTCCAAATTGTTTATATATATATATATATATATATATATATGCAAACAACAGGCATCCCAGCACTGATTCCTGTGGAACACCACTAGTCACCCTCCCCTGTGACTGTCTGTCTGCTATGACTAAGCCAGTTCTGTATCCCTCTTACCAACCCACTGTGAATCCCATTTGACTTTACCTCTTGTATCAGCCTGCTACAAGGGACCTTGTCAAAGGCCTTGCTAAAGTCCATACACGATATCGATTATCCTGCCCACGTCAATCATCTTTGTCACTTCCTGAAAAACTCAATCAAGTTTGTGATACAATACCTTCCCCACACAAAGGTATGATGCATTTCAATAAAAAGTCCATATTTTTCCAAATGTGAGGAGATCCTATCCCTATGAATCTTCTACAGTAATTTACCTAACACTTACATAAGGCTCTGCGGCCTGTAATTTCCTGGATTTTTCCTGTTGCATTTCTTAAAGGAACAACGTTGGCTATTCTCCAGTCCGCTCCTGTGATGAGAAAGGATACAGATATTTCATACATGACCTCAGCAATTTCCTCACCTGCCTCCCTCAGCATTCTGGCGTAGATCCCATCAGGCCCTGTGGACTTGTCTACTTTAATGTTTTTTCAAAACACCCAAAACCACCACCTTTTTATATAGATATGCCCTAGAATATCAACATAACCATCTCGAGACTCACCATCTCCTATGTCTTCTCCTTTGTGAATAATAATGCAAAGGATTTGTTAAGGACCTCACCCATTTCCTCCGGCTCAATGCATAAATCCCGCCTTTGTCCTTGAGTGGGACCTACCTTTTTGCTAGTTACCCTGTGGTTCCTTTTATACATATAAAATGCCTTGGGATTTTCTTTCATCCTGTTTGCCTCCTTCCCTTTTTAGATAAAGGTGTAACATTGACAGTTTTCCAATCCTCTGAAACTTTTCTAGAGTTTAAGTATTTTGGAGGCTTATTACCAATGCATCTGCTATCTCTGTAACTGCTTACTGTAATATTTCAGGACACAATCCATTTGATAAGGACACTTAGTGACCTTTAGCTCCATTATTTTCCTCAGTACTTTCTTTCTATCATGATAATTGTTGTATTTATTTCCTATCCCCATTTTTGCCCCTTGATTATTTGGTATTTTTGAAAGGTTATCAGTGTCTTCTACCATGAAGACTGATGAAAAGTATTTATGCAACTCGTTAGCTATTTCCTTGTTCCCCATTATTATTTCCAGACTACGATTATTAAGCAGTTAGTGAAATCACAGGAACTTCTACTTTTAAGGTATTGGTCTTGTCATTTAAAAACCCATGAAACAATCACACTTTATTGAATTAAGTGTAACTGGATGTCTAAAAATGTACTAACTCTATAATTACTGTTAAGATCTTTACTGTCCTTGAAAGTTTGATTTTATACTTGAAGAATAGAGACTTCCCTAATACAATTAAAAAGACACATTTATCAAATAAATTTATCTTTATTTTAGATTCTACTTTAATCGATTCATAATGTGTTGTATTGCCTGAAATCTGTAATGACAGTGAAGGAGTTCAATGCTTGTAATCTCCTAGTTTGCACTTTGGGAGAATACTTGTGCTGATACCCCCGTTGCTGGAAGCATGGTATTCCTGTTACCTTGGCTCTATACTAGAACCGCCATTGGGAAAGGGGAATTCTTTGCTGTTAAATCGCTCAATTTTGGGGTAGAGTTCTTCGAGATCAGCAGCAATGCTGTTCTTTTGCTGCAGTCTGCAAAATTTAATCCATTATCTTGCAAAGGCAGGAAAACAATGGCGTGTATAAAATATAGTACCTCGAGTACAATATTACCAAAGCATCTCGTGGTCCATCATCGAACAAGACATAACTGTAAACCAGATGAAAATAATACAACAGATGATCCAGTGCATGGTTGAAGTGGTAGATTTTAAAGAATGTCTTACAGGAGAAGCAGCAGTGAGATGGATAGATTTAGGGTGGGAATTTCAGTCCTAAAGACCAAGTTGTTGAAAGCACAGCCATCAGTGATGGAGTGATTAAAATTGAGAGATATCAGGGTGTAAAATTGAAGTGCAGAGATCTCATCAGATTGTAGTGAAGGAGTTTAAAGGATTAGATTTTTCTAAAATGAGAAACTTAAATATAGTCAAAATGAATGGGTAAATTATCTTAAGTGAAAGTCCTAAATGAAGTTATTTTTTGACATAGTTCAATTTCTTGTTTTCCAAATATGTAATACAGTTAATCTAATCAATCAGATATTATTTTGTAAAATTACAGGATGCAAATCAACGACATCATGAGGTCGTGTCTGTGTATAGAATGCACCTTCTGTATGCAGTTCAGGTAGGTTTCTGTAATTATTGATTGTATATTGCACAACACAGTTTAGGTAATTCCTGATTTGAGGGATTTCTTTATTTCATAAAAAATTCCTACATTACCTTTGTGAACCTTAATATGAAAAGACGCCTTGGTTTTTTGTTTCAGATACTTCCTTTGGCAAAAGATTCAATGTTTGAAAAGAGTTAATGTAAAGAAAACTTCAACCTTTCTGTTTACTTGATAATTTTAAAATAGTTATGATTTCTCCCTTTCAAACCATTTCACTGTGCACATTTTGATATTCATTCACAAATTATCCTTCAGAGAATGTCACCGGATTTTCTATGCTTTTGAGAAATAGCGCCAAAAGCTGTGCACCTTCATGACCAAATTTTAAACTTTGAATGTTTTATCTACTTCATCTCTCTTGAGTTCCCAAGGTGATGCCACACTCTAACTGGTGCATAAGTGCTGCTACGTATAAGCCATCTTCTTCATTTTGTAGCTTGTAAGTTTCTATTTATAAAACCTCTAAAGCATTGTTGCCATTTTTTATGACAATAATGATCTGTACTCATACTTGAATGGAATTAACCAATTATACCCTGGATCTTGAATGGAATTAACCATTTATACCCTGGATTTTTTTAAAAAATGGCAGTTTTAGGGGCGTGGAGGTTGCTAACTAAGCCAGCATTATTATTTATCCTTAATTCCCCTGGAGAAGGTGTGGATGAGCTTCCTTCTTAAACCACTGCATTCCTTGGAGTGTAGGGACAGCCACAATGCTGTTAGGAAGAGAGTTCCAGGACATGACCATTTACTTTGAAGGGGAATGGTGAAATATTACCAAATTAAGATGGTGTTTAGTTTGGAGGGGACATTGCAGGTAGTTGTGTACTCATGCATCTGCTGCCCTTGTCCTTCTGGCTGGTAGAGGTCAAGGGTTTGGACAATGCTGTGTAAGGTTTGTAAGATGTCAAAGTCAACAAACATTTCAGCATTTTTCCAGAGGTTTCTGCACCTGTTCACTCTTAATTCTTCAATCCAGTTACTTGATACTTCTTTACGTCACATTTATATCTGTGAGGTGTTTGTCCAACAAAATAACTTGTCTATGTCCTCCTTATGTTTTCGTGTAATCAATCTTTACTGTTTGCTAAATGGTTAACTTCTGTGAAATCAGCAAATGTTGCTGTTCTATTCCCTATATTGAAAAGTAAACTGAACACTGATCTCTGATGTACAGCTATTCTAATCTGTTTAATTTCTCCTGAGGGTCCGAGTGTCTCTTACTAGTGGAAACATCTCTGCATCCACTCTATCCAGGCCTCTCAGTATCCTCTAAGTTTCAATCAGATCCCCTCCTCATCCTAAACTCCAAGTACAGATTCAGAATCCTCAACTGTTCAACATATGACAAGCCCTTATCATATCCCCGGGATCATTCTTGTAAAGGGGAGGTGACGGCCTTGTGGTATTATCCCTCTACTGTTAATTCAGAGACTCAGGAATGTTCTTGGAAGGGTGGGGGGAGCGTGGAGTGGGGTGCAGGTTTGATGGCAGGAATTTGAATTCAATAAAATCTGCAATTAAGATTCTAATGATGACCATGAATCCACTATCAATTGTCAGAAAAAAAATGATTTGATTTACTAATTTCCTTTAGGGAAGGAAACTTGCCATCCTTACTTAGTCTGGCCTAAATGTGACTCCAGACCCAGAGCAGTGTGGTTGACTCTGCTGTCTGGGCAATTAGGGGTGGGCAATAAATGTAGCCTTGTCAGTGATGCTCTCATCCTGCGAATGAATAAATTTAAAACAAATCTCCCCTGGACCTCCTCTATGGCCAGTCATCTTACTTTAGATATGGAGCCCAAAATTGCTTGCAATATTCCAAATGCGGTCTGACCAGATCCTTATACAGACTCAGCAGTACATCTCTGCTCTTGTTTTCAAGCTTTCTTGAAATGAATGCTGACAGTGCATTTGCTTTCCTAACTACCAACTGAACCTGCATGTTAACCTGAAGAGAATCTTGAACTAGGACTCCCAAATCCCTTTGTGCTTCCGATTTCTGAAGCCTTACCACGTGTAGAAAATAATCTATGCATCTATTCTTTCTATATAAGTGCACTTTCCCACATTGTATTCCATCTGCCAAATCTTCGCCCACTTTCCCAGCCTGTACAAATTTTTCCGCAGCCGCCCTGCCTCCTCAACTACACCTTGCCCTGAACACCATGGGCCCTTATCTTATTGAGCAGCCTCCCATGTGCACCTTGTCAAATGTCTTCTGGAAATCCAAATGCATCACGTCCCCTTGCTCAGCAGCAGTTTGCTTTATTTGAAAATGAAGTGACTTGATGGAGATGTTCAAAATCACATCCACATTTAAAAGAGCAGATGGAGAGAAACCACTTACCCTGGTCAGATGAAGCCTGCCTATTGTGTATACTGAACCAAGAGTTGTCTTGAAATTGATACTCTTGCAGGATTGAAGTCCACTTCTTGTACCTGAATCTTTAAACTTCCTTTGCAGGGACTCCATTGTTCTTATATTTAGGATCAAAAGTTGTATAGTTTGGTTCATGAATTTACATTTTGTAAATATATTTCCAGGGTCAAATGGATGAAGATGTTCAGAAGGCTCTGAAACAGATTTTGACAATGTGCAAATCTCAGCCACAGACGAAGTAATTTATATGTATATATAAAACATTACTTAGCCAACCTTTGTCTAATGTTCAATTGTCACTGCTGTTAAAATGAATGAGTACGGGATAATTTACAGTTAAAACTGCAGAAAAATGTTTACAGGAGCTTTCTTTGTTCTACCTACTAACTGTATGTACATTATATTAAAATGTGTAATCAGTTTGTTTGTACCAAAATTCCAATAGCAAAAATTCATTGGAACAAGCTAGTTTGTACAGTTGTTATCATATTTGCTCAGAACATATTTAGTTTGTTGATCATGCCATTGGAACTGCAAGCTCTTGATACCTGTGGTTAGGGAATGGTATGAATCACCAGAAACACAAGTATCCAACATCAGATACTTAACAATACAATTGTACAATAATTTAATGAATGTTATGGGTACACAGGAAATACTGAATGTACTGGAGAAGCTAATGCCATCTTGTCATCACGGGCCAAAGGGCCTATTTCCACACTGTAGGGATTTTATATTTGACCTACAGATGTATACAATGTAGCTGGGGGGAAGCAGTGTAAACTGAAGAGAAAAAGGGCAATTTGTGGAAATTGGAAAAGTATTGGTTTGAATACCGAGAGTCTAAGCAAGAGAAAAATGCAAAGTACAAATGAAAAGCAGACAAGTGAACATTTCTGTTGGATTAATTACATTTTGTATGTGACCTTTTGATTATTGCTGAAAGTCCTTAAATTGGATTATTTCTACTCCTGGCATGTTGGTTTGTGGAATCTTGCCATTCCTTTCTGCATACTTGTCCTCTTTTGCACCATGATATGGTCCAATCTCAATTATGAATGTAAATGCTACATGCTTATTCAATAATTTTACAATCATTACTCTACTCCCGTCATCTCAACACAATGTACAGAATTTCAGATTTTTTTAAACCTTATGAGTAGGATCATTCCTTGCAGCATTTAACACCTCGTTAGGCATTATCTGGTTCGAGGTGGCCTTTCCACGACTCCCTGGCAGAATTCCCTCAAGAGTGCTGTCAGCAAAAGTCCCATTGGCACCCAGGGAATGACCGCTAGACCCAGTCTCTTGAGTCGGTGTACTGGAGCCCCAGCATGGGTGTGAACTCATGAATAGGGGAAGGGAGAACCAGAGGGTGGAGGAGAGGGTATTGCTTTGAAAGCCAGGCGTAGAGAGAACACCTGCAAGGCAAAGACACTGGATTTTGAAAGGAGACCAGAAATGGAAACAGCACGATGGCACAATGCCACCCCACTTGGCCTTAGCAAGATAACCTAATGTGCACCTCCCACTTCCTCGAGCCCCTCCCATTAGCCTGAGTGGGAAATTCCACTTTAAGGTGCAAACTGGGGCAAAAGCTGTGTTTCCCATTTTAGGATTCACCCCCATCCCGTAAAATTTCAGCCAGGTCAGGGGATAACAGGGAGATAAGACACCCGTTTTTTTTTTAATAGACCTCCCTGCCAGCTAACCTGTTAGCAGGAGTCCACAAAATTCTGTCTGTATGACTTTGGTTGACATAAATGAAACATTTGCCTGCACTAGGTTTGCAATTAAGATATGTTGCACCATTAGAAACAATAGAGTCAACTGATGCTTCTCGTTCTCCATGACCTAAGAGCATTAGTAGTTTGCTCATAAGGCTTAAGATAAAATAGATGATGTGTTAAACTTCTTTCAAATACTATTATATGCAGTGTACAGCATAATTTTGATATACAAAGCTGCAACTACCTAACAATTCTCATGCCATTTGAGTCAAAAGTTATAAATTAAACAGCAAATGGTGAAACATTTTTTAACTTATTGTCACAACCTCCTTCATATCAGAAATTCTGTAGCTGATAAACTAGTCATAATAGTAAAAGTGTTTCACATTTTTGCAGGTTCATAATCTTTATCAGCATATAGATCTGAATAAAAACCTTTGAGTTACCTAAAGCAGATATGTGCAGATATACATTGCCACATTATATTCATTCATTAAAGTTCCACTGCTTGATACTTAGTGAAGAATTAAAATCACTCTGATTTAAAAACCTGCTCGAACTTTACATTTGAAGCTCAATGTAATGAACAATATTAAACAAAATAAATTTAAATAGTGCACGATTTGCATCTTAAATACATAGGTTATTTTGTCATTTGACCTTTGAAGACAGATATTATAATTCCTTCTCTAGATCAAATTACATATACATCTAACCAGAATTAAAAATATGTAAATATTTAAATATTTGGAAGATCCATTCCCTTGTATACAGTTAAAATTAGTTGGGAAAACATAGAATAATAGTGTTTCAATATAAACCAAGGAAAGGCCCTACATCTCATTTATAGTGCATTTTTTTGGAAGGGTTGGGTGTGGGAGTGCAGTATTCCCTATAATGAATAAAAAATTGAATGCAAGCTATCTTGTAATATGTATCTATCTCATAACAACAACTTGCAGTTGAATCTGTGCATCAACCGAAGCAGTGTTATTTCTTCATGTTAAGATAATGTTGTTTATATTCTAAACAAACAAAGCTCAGAATAATAAAGGATTCATAGAGATCACAGATTTATATTGTATGATTCCCCACTGGGATTTTTGTTAACATATGTCATTTCAAGCTATTTACGAGTTATCAGTAATAGAAAACATGTATTGGAGGATGTAGGAACTGCAGATGCTGGAGAATCTGAGAAAACAAGGTGTGGAGCTGGATGAACACAGCAGGCCAAGCAGCATCAGAGGAGCAGGAAAGCTTCT